TTTAAATGTTAATCTCATCCAAAAACACCCTCATGGAAACACCTGGAAAAATGTTTGACCAAAAATCTGGGCTGACACATAAATTTAACCATGATGGGTGGCACAGATGATGCTGTAGTAAATATGCCCTATCCACCATTCTGTGAATACCTGATACTCATTTCAGAACTTTCAATCTTATCTTCCACCCAAACTTGCATAACTTTCCCTTTTTCCTTCATCTACCAAACATTACTTGTTCTCACTTGCTCCCATGTAGCCACTGATCGATCTTTTTATTTCTTTTATCTTTAATTTTGTGAGTGTTGCATGAGTATGAGCTTTTGTTTCTTTAACTCAGTGGATGATTTTCTAGGGGTAGTAACTGTTCTTTTTCTTTTTTCCTTTAGCTCTTTTCCCTTTAAGTAGCGGATACTTAAAATATAGCTAGTGGCCTTTGTTTATTTATTCAATAATGATATATATTAAATGTGAGACACTGACATAATAAGCCCTGACAATATAAACATGAGTAGCACAGAGCTAGTTTTCTGGTAGTGGGAAGCAGATAATAAGTGGTTATACTACAATGTGTAGTACTACACTAGAGGACTGGAAAAGTACTTTGGGAACCCAGATGAAATGATAATCATTATCTTTATCATGTGGACTCACAGAAGATTTTATCCAAGGAGTCACATTTTTATCTGGCCCAAAATAGTAACCAGGCAAGTTAGCAGCTGCAGGCCAAGGGAAACATTTTAGGCAGAGGGATTGGACTACAAAAGTACAGAGTTATGAACGAGAAGAATTTGTTTAGGAAATGTGACAAGGTCTGTGTACCTCTAGTTATGCCTTATGAGCGTTTGGGAAAGAAGAGGCATGCAAGGGGCATGCTAGAACTTAAAACACTTTGTATGCCCTTACCAGAAGCTTTAGCTTTAGGCAGTAGGAACCAGCAGAAGTCTTCAAGGGAGGGAGTGACCTATTTTTATTTTTTGAAGGTAATTCTGGGAATAGTATGGAAGATGGCCTTAAGTAGGGAAAGAAAGTAGAAGACAGAATGATTAAGAAGGCCATTGTAACAATTTAGTTGAGAGATACTGAGGGATTGAATTAGGTAGTAAGGAAAGAGAATGGAACCTGAATTTTTAAAGAGGTATTTTTAAGGTTGAATCAACAGAAATTTGTTATGGTTTCAGGAAAGGAGAAATTGGAACAGAGAATGGATTAAGGGAAAATGAATATGTAGAAGGTATGAGGGAGAGGGAAAAATTCATTGTACCTCTCAAGTCTCCAGGCTAGAAGATAGAGTGAATGTTGATGGATTGAAATCAGAATTTGGTCATAGTCTGTTAGGAAAGGTGTGGAGCTGAGTTTTGTATGTGCTGCATTTGAGATGCCTGTGGAGCCCCTGGGAATGCAGATCCAGAGAACGGAGAAGGGGCCAAGGCTAAGGCGAGACACATGGTCCTCAGCATAGTGCAAACATGAAACCAGGTGAGAAGAGGCAAGGATCTAAGGAGAATGTAAAGTTAAAAGGAGATGTAAGAGCATTAGCATACTTTGCCTTATAAATATTTGATTGATTAATTGTATTACTAATGGGCCCTGTATGAAGCACAAGAAATGGGAACATTTTCCTGAGAAAGCTACAAGATTCCATTCAAGTTCTCACAAGTAAACTGTCATATATCAAAACAGATTCCTTAAATGGAATCCTCTGTGTCTATAGAGCTGCGTGACTGAGCAAGTGAGCTAATCTGTATTTGACCCTCAGTTCTCATCTATAGATAACCCAGTCCCATATGGTCTTGCTGTGTTTACTCTTGCTTCACTACAAGGAATGCTTTCTCTAGTGGCCACAGAGATTTTTTTTTTTTTGGTCAACTAAATGTGATATTAATCCTTGTGTAGGATCTCACCTCTTTCCTTGGCCCCTACCAACCTCTCCTACCTCATATCTTTCATCTCCCTTTTTACTCATGGGCTCTGGCTGAGGCATCCTTCTTTCTGTTCAGGCCTTAGAATCTGTGTAATGGTAGGTACTTAATATGAAATGAATGAATGACTCTGCCTTCTAGGTTTGTTGTGAGAAGTAAATGTGAAAAAATATATGAAGAGCCTATTAATATGCCTGGTGCATTACAAGTGTGCAATAAATGCCACTTTTAGTCATTTTTGTCCTTGTGTTACTCGCCTATAACTCTGATATTTCTCCATATTTTTCTATTCCAATCTACCTTTCCAACTCGTCCCATCCAGGCAACTTACTGTCTTCGGTTTTTGCCTCCCCAAAGGCTGTAGTCCATGTGTGTTGACATCTCTCTTCATTTGGCACTTGATATGATTTCATCTAATTCCCTGGACTTTTGCATACATGTATTCTCCTGGGCAACCCTGTTTCTTATGCTTAAATCATTATCTATGGATTCCTGGTCCAAAGGACACTGAGCATATAACAGGCTTCCTGCATGAAATTCTCAGGAGAATGGGAATCCCCTGGGAACTAGGTCCCAAACTACCAAGGGATTCTTACAACTTATAAAGCACTGTTCTGATTACATCATTATTTTGTGGATTTGGAATCAACAGTTTGTAAATGGTAGTCAGTGTTTATTGAACACTAACTCTGGGCTAGGCAAAGTCCTAAGCACTTTACATACATTACCTCACTTTATGAATTTGATTTTATGAGTATTCCTGTCTTATACTTACTAACTGGCCCAGGGTCATGCTGTTAGTGACTTCCAAGTTAGGATTTAAGCCCAGGTGGTCTAATTTCATATTCCTGCCCTCAACTATACTTTTGTATTCTGTAGTGCCCCAGTAGCAGTTCCTGGGTCATAGAGTTAACTTTTATTCTTTAGCGTTTAATTTTAAATTTAAAAAATAATATGCAGTTATAGTTTTTTTTTTTTTTTTAATTCCAACATTTCTTCCCTACCATTCTACTCTACCGTTTTGAGTCTCATTTCACTTATGGCAACTACCATTAACAATATTTTCAGAATTTTTTTTCTTTCCTGTCTTTTTTTTTTTTTTTTAACCTCCTTAGTGTGATTCTCCTCTCAGCTTTTTGTCTTCTAAAAAGTCAGCTTATTCCTAGTTGGTGAAAGTGACTGATGGTCGAAAGACTAGTTATCTGTGTGTCTGTCTATCACTTAAGTTGACCCTTAGAGAAAGATATTACACCTCCGTCCCAGGCAAGCTTCTAAAATTAATTAAATTCTTACTTCTTTGGGACCCATTTACATTTCTGAAGGAGAACTACTTTTAGTCTACAACTCCAGGCTGATAAATTCTTCAAGTTCCCAGGACTTAAGCTGTTATTTGACAATCCATGTGTGACTCTATCACCTTGATGTTCAGAGAAAAATGAACAACAGGCCTTCCTAGCTAAGAAAATGGGGTTTGATGCTCTTTCCAAGGCATGGCTTTATGGACTCAAGATTCTCGTGAAGAGAGTTTTGCTTTTAGATCCTTACCTTTTCTCTACTTCTCTATTCACGAAGAGCTATAATTTTTAATCAGGAACACAAAAATACCACTATGGAAATGGCCATGCTTTTCAGCATGCAGCAGAACATTTTCCTAAAAAGTGAGGTCACCAGAAGCATGGAGCAGAGAAATCCCAGATGGCACTAATATTTGATTTCATTTTTAGCATGCTCATATTCAGCAGATGGATTGGAAGGCTGACCTCGCTGACACTTCTGCATCACTGCCTGCTACTCCAATTGCCTTTGTGAATGTTTTTTCATAAGGCTTCTCCTGGTACCTCAGAGATTGATGCCTGGTTGCCCGCCTGCGTTATGCTTCATTACACCAAGGCTCTGTGTGGTTGAGAGTTGCTGTATTCTATAAAAGGGGAAATCCTAGCTCATCAGTATCTCAGACTTTTCCTACACTCTCTAAAATTGTTTTTTTTGTGTCGGAGAGCATCATCTTCGCTTTCCTGGTATACCTCCGATTTGTTTCTGTTTTTTTAGTCCTTTTCTAATTTTTCTGCTTTCTTCTGTGATGTAGATAAATTACAAATACTATTAAAAAAACTCCTCTGGAAATGGCTAAATTGACTGTTTCCAACAATCTAATTATATTAAGGTGAATATTATTGAATTCCTTTTTGCACCCAAGCTTCAGGGGCAAAGAGAACAGACCTGGATTGGAGTGCCCGACTCTGCCATTTCCCTTACTTTAGTATTAGCCTCAGTTTCCTTGTTTGTAAATTACTGATATGATGAGTGCTGAGTCGTTGGGATTGGTGTGAAGGTTAAACAGAGTAACGGACATTGTGTGGTTGTCACAGCCTTGGCACAAAGTTACTTTGGTTGTGTTGTTGTTTTTTTTTTTTTTTTGTCTGACATCAGTTATGGTAGTTTGTGGTATGCTTCATACATTCTTTTGCGTAGGCAGGTAATAATAAAATCTAAAACATAACAGTTTTGTTGATTTTTTTAATTTGGATTACAAGGAAAGCAAATTGTTGAGGAAGTTTTTGATGATCAGACTGATGTTTTATTTCAAAACTTTTTATAAAATTATTCACTTTTACAGATCATTACATTATCCACATACCTATTTAGAGATGGCCTCTGTGGGAATGAAGCACCCTCTTCCCCCCCTGCTCCTGCCCTCCCCATCTAGTTTATATTTCAGTGATGTGGCTAGAGAAACAATCACACAGCATGAATATCCAGCAGATTTTTGTGTTTTTCCTGGCAGGGTGACCTATGTGGCCATTCTGTAGAGTTCTCTGGGAACCCTCAATTCTGAGGAGGATTAGTTTGCTTAAATCCTTACATGTTGTGCTGCTTTGCACACAACCAGATTTTGGTGCATATTTTAATGCAAAGCCTACTTTTGGCTTAGAAAACATTGCATATTTAATAGCCTTTTTGCTTGAATCAGATCTCTACCCAATGTAATGTTTTTTTTTTTAGGTTTTAGATGACTGCTATTTTGTTGTGAAACTTTCTTTAGGAAGTTACTTTTTTTTTGTTTTTTCCTTTTTATAGATCGAACATAAGGCCAGACTATGCAGACTCCAATTTCCATGAGTTCAAGATGCACACCTTCAATCGGGTTACATCCTGCAAAGTCTGCCAGATGCTTCTGAGGTAAGCTTGCTTGGTCCTGTTTTTCAGTTTAAAGGAGCTGCTATAATTGCTGTGTGTTTCAGACTTTTTTAATATCCCAGCCAAAATGTTGTGAAGTAGGGAAATTGCCTTAACAGTATTGAGCCAACAGATCTTTCCTCAGCCTCGTACCTGGACGCTTCCTTCCAAACCCCAGGAGGCCCTCTCCTTCTGCTGAGAAGACTTTGCAGAGCACTGTGTTCCCTTGTTTTTTTTCTCGTGCTCATGATTTCATAGAGGCAGCATTTAGCAGCTTTTAACATATCCCTCTCTAATTTTACCTTTCAGAGGAACATTTTATCAAGGCTATTTATGTTTTAAGTGTGGCGTGAGAGCACACAAAGAATGTTTGGGAAGAGTAGACAATTGTGGCAGAGTTAATTCTGCTGGTAAGTCATGTTTATTGTTGTGATTCTGCTTTTAATTAGGACATAAAACTTGATAAACATCATTAAGGCCTAATTTACTCTATGTGTTTATTGTGACATATCTGCTTTTGAAACTATCATTTATAAGGACAATTAAAAAATTGTTCTAAATTCCTGTGACTTTTATACGTACCTGGGAGGCAGAGGCCTTCAAGGAGGGCTTGGAAGGTTTCCGGCCACCCATTTCATTCAGCCTGGCCCCTGAGTCTCACTAATGCTGTACGAATATAAGCCAAAGCACGCAAATGGAGAAACAAAAACAAAACTGAAAAGAAAAATAATTTTTCACTTCTGTCTTTAGTCCTTAAATTTCTCCCTTGTTCTCTTAAATATTCAGCTCAGAAATGCTAATGATGCCAGAAGTAAACATCACACAGACTAATTCATGAATTAGTGAATTGAATACATTGTCATTTTGCAGCATTTAACAGAGAGCATATATCCTTTGGATTTTATGTAAATATTTTCCCCTTGGTTTTTAAAAATAAGGCTCCATGACTGTTACATTAGCCGGTTGCTAAGACTGTTGGCGATTATGCATTCAATAGCCTTTTGCTTCTCTCTGCTCCTCTTGGGCTCTCTTCCTTTCTTTCTTTTCTGGCCTCTTTATACTTTCTCTTTCTTCTTCTTTCTCTTTGTCCTTTTCCCCTGAGTTTCTCTTGTGTTTTATCAATAAGACCTTTCAAAATCAGTAGAACTTTTTGAACAGAAGAAAGGGATCTTTAACAGCTTGAGTTCAAAAGGTAGCCAAGTCAACCTTTGATTTTTCCCAAAGGAAAAGGTGGACATTGAATTATTTTGGATAATATGAAGAAGAGTGAAACAGAATAATAGCTCATTTCAGAGCTGAGTTCAGAAAATAGGCAGTTGTAGAAAAGGTGTGAATCCCATTAGACGACTGGGATCACAGCACATTCCTCTCACTCAGCTCCTTTGGTAGATGTTTTTTAAGGTTCCCATGAGCCATGAGCTCTCTCCATGCCAGGCATGGGCAGCCACAAGGAGAAGCATCCCGGGTTGGTTGAGTACCTGCACTGGGCCCTCTGCCAGGCCCTTCTTGCACAAACTTGTTCAGTCCTCAGGGCAGTGCTTCCCGTTTTCTGATGGGAGTCAGAGTGTTCATGCAATTGACTCCAAGTCTGCTGAGACAAGGAGACAAGATTAGCACCCACTAAGGTTTCTGAAGGTCAGAAACAGTTGACAACGTTGTAAAATAGAAATGTTATATGTTGTTATTGTTATTCTTCAGTTGTGCACCTGATGCGGCTTATCATTTAAATTTTGGTAGTTCTGTCTTTATTTGCCGCATCCTTTAATCTCTTTGGGGACAACTAACATGTTAGGTGTTCATAGTAGGCTAATGTATTTTTATAAAGCTCCCCCTCCACCCCCCCAGCCCTGTCTTAGGAGTTTCAGTCTGTGAGGAATGTGAAGTGATCTCATAGTTGGCCTGGTTCTTGCATTCTACTGGAAGACTGCAGGAGAGCAGTTGAGAGTCAAGCAGAAATGGTGGAAAATCTCCTTCTGCCCTTTGCCAGCTATGGGAGCTTGAGGATGTTACTTAAGCATTCTGAGGTTTTGTTTATTCTTCTATAAAATGGAAATTAGAGGATTATCATGAGGATCAAATGAAGCAATGTTGATGCTTAGTACAGTGCCTGGGCACAATAAAAATTCAGTGTTTTAATCCAAGGTGCTATGATGAGAAGTCTGTTTTTGTTTTTTTGGTGTTTTGTTTTGAAAAGGGATGGGCTTAATCTGTATCTTTGCTGTTGTTTTATGATATGGAGCAAGTGTGGATAGAAGAAATAGTGAGCACCAAACTTTGTAGTGATATAAATGAATGATGCTAAAGGACTTTACATTTTTAACTTTCACTTGAAAGAAAAAAGTCAACAGGAAACAGTTGGGAATTCCTGGTCAAGCGATAAAAAAGCGGTGCATCCCCTGAGTCATAATTCCAGTGTCCCCCGGCCTTCAATGAGTAACTCTGGATTGGGAGACTGTGTGTGATGGCAGGAAAGCCCACAAGGTCTGGAGTCTTGGTCTGGTTTGAATCCCTCTTTTTTTTTTACTCACTGGGTGACTTTGGAACCTGTTACTTAACCTTCGTAAGTCTTAGGTTTTTTTTTTCCCTTTTAAGATAGGCATAGTAATGACACCTAGTCTTTAAGTTTATATATTTTTTAAATAAATACAAAGTGCCAGGTACTGTTCTAAGTATGTTACTGCTATCAACTCACTTAGTCCTGTATGAATCTTTTAAAGTTGGAATTACTGCTATTCTTGTCTTACATATGAGAAACCAAGGCACAGAGAAATAACTTGCTTCAGTTGCTTAATCAAGAGAGTGAATATGCAAATCCAGGCAGTCCAACTCCTGAGTTTGTTCTTAACCCCCGAGTTCTGTCCCAGTCCTGCGAACTAGCTGTGAGGATCTATGGAAATGTCTTAAATGCATAGTGCCTTTTTTTTTTTTTTTTTCAGAGTAAAATCATGTGTTTGGTTTTCTCTGAGAAAGAGTTCCTTTTTTTTTTTTTTTTTTTTTTTTTTTAAAAAAAATCTTTTTTTTTTTTTTTTTTTTTTTTTAGCAAGAACACTTATGAATTCAATTAAATTAGTAACTACCAAATATGCTTAGGTTTCAATGCTTTGAAGTGCTGTGAGAAATTCAGCTCTCCCTGGGACCATGCCTGACCCTTTCCCCATGGAATGTCTCAGAGCTGGAAGATTTAGACACCTTCAGTTCTAGGATCTCTTATTTTAAGATGAGGAAACTGAGTCCTAAAAGTATGAAAATAAGGCTGTTGTGCCCTGCAGATTTTAGGTAATGCTTACTTATACAGATATCATTTATTAAAAGGTAGCATCATTCTCTAAACTTTGTTACAGAATTCACTATAAAGCAGGAAAAAATTTTTTAAGCCTCTGGCTAAATTTACTTCTTGGAGTTTTAAACATAATTCTCTCTCTCTCTTGCTTTTCTGCCTTGCATCCAATGTTGTCCTCCATTCTCCTGTTTTATGCATCCATGTCTTATTCTCTCTCTTTCTGTCCTTTCCTGCCCAAGATTTTAAGAGACTGATGGCACTGAATGCTCACAGTCCGTTAATTAGTGGTATGAGGTGGTAAGGACCTATCCAGGAGGCTTCCCTGTTTGCCTCCACATGAGGATTTGCTGGGCAGTCCTTCTGAGTAAAGCCTTGCTTATCCTAAGTGAAGAGGAATCTTTTACAGCTGTCAGCACCTGGGGCGTTCTGGGGGTACACATCTTCACCTTTCATCCATCCACTCATGGATAAGACCTGGGGAGCCCAGCGTCTACGACAGCACCTATCTGGTCCCCCACAGTTCTGGAAAACTCCATTTTGTTTTCTTTTCCATTTGTTGCAATTCAGCTGGCTCCTGGAGGGCCACTCCAAAGACCCCTTGTGATACAATGTTGGGACTCAAATTGGAGCCTGTTTTTTAAATATTAGAACAGAGGCAGTGGGTACCATTGCTGTCCACCGGGACGCGGGGGGCCCAGCCAGGCTGGCCTTCCAGGGTGTTGGGCCCTGGGAACAGGCTTGTGGGGATTGGATGGATTTTTCCTCTTTCTTTCTTTCTTCTCTTTCTTCTTTCTTTCTCTTTCTTTCTTTCTTTCTTTCTTCTCTTTCTTCTCTTTCTTTCTCTCTCTCTTTTCTTTCCTTTCTTTTCTTTCTTTTTTTTCTTTTCTTAAAAAAACCAAAAAAAAGTTGGAGTGAGTGTGGGTTCATTTTCCCATGATGGGTTTTCCTAAAAAAACCAAAAAAACAAAAAACACTCCCAAACCAGATGCCCTCTTAAAGTTGGAAGTTATGACATCCTGTCCTTGAACTCCCCGCTTCCTGCACTGCTGTGGGTAGTAACCATGGATAGAGTGTGAGTTTGAGCTTGGTCGGTCTGATGTGAGTGTGGTAGAACAGGCAGACTTCGGAGGACATGGGCAAGCTAGACTTTATGGGTGTTTCCCAGCCAGCAGAGAACCAACATTGGCTGAAGTTTTCCACAGTCCAGCAACTGGATGCAGCAAGAACTGCTTGCACTAGTATTTTCCCATGACACTGGTATGACACTTGGGGAAGTGGGGTTGTAGGGAGGAGGGCAGGAGGAAGGACAGAATGTCTCAAGGGCTGGAGACATAGTTCACTTGGATGGGGCTCTTTCTGGAGGAGAGTATGACATCATTTTGGAGAACTTGACTTGGGGGGTGGGATCAACTAAATTTAACAGCTAAATTTAAAGCAAGTGAATAGTATTGAATTAAGGCAAACTCAAATGCTTACATAATCCAGGTTCCCAGATAAAATTATATCATAGGTGACTTGAGATTGACCTCAACTTTACAGAGCTCTGCTGCTCTATTGCTTAACATAGTCTAACTATATTCTCAGGAAACGAAGAGAGATTCTGATCAACTCAGAGTGAGTCAGGAGTCTACCTATGGTCCAGAAAGCAGTGCCTAGTAGAATTGGTTACATTATAAACATTGGGTAGTTGGGGTAGAAGACAGTTCCAGAAAGTGGAGCATGCCATTTTCACTCAACATTGGTCCAGGCAGAGAAGAGGGACTAGTTGAACAAAATGACACAGTAACCCAGGGGCTAAATGAAGGTGAGAGAATCTTCCGTTCTACCTTCTAATTGCCAAATGTACTGGTCGTCACATTCCAGGCCTCACCTAACTTGACCTTTCTCTTTTATTTGGCACTGTTAACTGTTCTTCTTGACACATTCCTTCATATCCTACCACATCCCCCATGCTATCCTTTGGATACCAGATTAATACCCTGGCATTAGCTATAACCCACACCCAGGTAGATAAGTCACCAGTTCCACGTAAGGCTTTTCTCTTGAACTTTGGATTCAAAATGTCTGTCTTCTTCTCACATACCCCCTTGCAGGTGTCCTGCCGTGACCTCACATTTCACGTATCTAAAA